TAACTGCCCCGCACCCTTCCTAGTATTGGGCTTGGGGACTTCGGGGGCTTCTCAACCTGTGGGGCTTCTGAACTTGTCTTTCTCCCATGTTCCTCTCAAGAGAAGTGGCACAGAAGTGTGCAGCCTCTGAGAATTTGCCAAACCTTCTTAAGGGCCCTCCTGTTGAAATCTCAGGACAACTCCATTGGGTCATACCCAGGACCCCTGAAGCCCAAGGTCATATACCTGGTTCTGCCACCTTTCTATCTGGTTTTCTGGACCTTTATATCTATTCGATGTCCACTGGGGTACCTCTTCCCATTCGAGTTAACTGTCCTGAGCACAGGGGTGTCCACCGTCTGGTCTGAGTGAGGCCCAACCTCCACCTGACCACTGCCTGGGCCTTCCTTCTCCTAGCTGATTCTCTTATCTCCCCTGCTTGGAAGGCAGATAAACAAAAAGAAGAAAGAATCAGTACTAATCCTGTAACCCTTCCAGTATGTTGTCTACAGATGTAAATTTTTTTAAAACCCAGTTTGTGATGGGGAACAAGATATAAATATTTTTAATAGATTCTACTGGACTCTTGATATATAGGCTTCCAGGTCATGAGACAGTTTTTTGCCCTTTCAGTGACTGAGCCCTCATGACTTCAGCCCAGTTCTAAGCAACTTCAAACTCCTGGGCTCAACTGATCTTCCTGCCTCAGCTTCCCAAGTAGCTGGGACTATAGGCGCCCACCGTGACACCTGGCTAATTTTTCTATTTTGAGTAGAGGCAGGGTCTCACTCAGACTGGTCTCAAACTCCTGAGTTCAAGGAATGATCCTGCCTCAGCCTCTCAGAGTGCTGGGATTATATATAGGCATCCACCGTAGTTTTAAGGGATCATTTCAACCTATGGCACAGGCTGGGACTGAAGCGGGGGAGATGACAAAAATGGTCAGGATGGGTTCAGATGGGAAAGGCGTTTTGAAGGGTGACTCTTGATATGCTGCTTCAGGGGGCAAGGAGGTATTTCATAGAATGCTAGAGACAGAACTGCAGAGGCCATGGTGACTGTGGCCTGGGGTGGGGTCAGAGCAGATGGCAGGAGGGGGCCAGTGTGGGGGAAAAGGAGGGCAGACCACATCAACCCCTGTTCAGGGCTGTCATTGTGGGAAAACTGAAGCTCTTTGCTGAAGCCTAGGAGGTGCATTTTGTCAGCTCTCCATGTCATCTGGGTAGGTCTCTGCACTGGACCCCACTTTGTCCCTACCCTTCTGTAACACACACACTTCTTTTGTGAGGCTTTGCACCTGTTACTTTGCCTGACATGCTGTGCCCCAAGTCTCACCACAGCTGACCCCATCTATCATTCAGTCTTGAGTGGAGATATGACCTCCCCAGTTCATCCATTCAGTCAGCACTTAACAGTGAGCACGCACTGTGTGCCCTCAGATGCCATAGGGAATAAAAGGATGACAGTCTCTGGCTAAGAGAAAGAAAGTGTCTTCTCCAGGAGGATTACACAGGCAGCCGGCTGGATTAAGTAAACTCTTTGGTGTGTTCAAGCATGGCAGGTGCTAAGGAGAAAAGCAAAGCAGGGAAGGGGGAGAGGATGTCTGGGGACATCACAGGTTGGGACCTAGGTCAAGTGGGAAGCATGCTGGTGTCTGGAGGAAAAGTGTCTCAGGCAGAAGGAACAGTGAGTGCACAGGCCTTGATGAAGCAGTGGTCACTACTGAGGGCTTCCAGCCACCAAACCCTGGTTACAAGGTCTTAGTGTCTTCCTTTGCTCTCCAGCCCCGTCTGCGTCTCTCCCTGTCCCTACTGCCTCCCCATCCTGGGAAGGTGCCTCCTCCCTGCCCAGCTCTGTGCAGAGTGCCATACCTCAAGGGGCCTGTGTGGGAGGGAGTGCCACTCCCCATTACACACAGCTTAGGGAGCCTTACTCTGGTGGCAGCCCCTAGCCTGTTGGCCCTGGCCTGGGGCTCTCTCACTTACGTCCTGCCTCCCTCCAGGCACGGTCAGTTCCACTGCAGATAGCTTTAGGTCTGGCTTCCTTCTCTAGAACCTGCTTGTCTGGGCTGAGTGGAGCTGAGGGGCTACCTGGAGGTGAGGACAGCCAGGCCCAAACCTGTCTTCCCACCCCCTTCAAGAAGGGATAGTGTTTTGTTTTGTTTTTTGACACAGAGTCTCACTATGTCACCCTTGGTAGAGTGCTATGGCATCACAGCTCATAGCAACCTCAAACTCTTGGGCTTAAGCGATTCTCTTGCCGCAGCCTCCCAAGTAGCTGGGACGACAGGCACCCACCACAACACCCAGCTATTTTTTTGTTGCAGTTGTTCAGCTGGTCCATGCTGGATTCGAACCCGCCACCCTCAGTGCATGTGGCTGGTGCCGTAACCACTGTGCTATGGGCACTAAGCCAAGGGATAGCATTTTTTCATGCCTTAACCTGGGCTGTCAGGTTGGTTGGAATGAGGGGCAGATGCTGGCCCCACCTCACCTTGGTCACTGTTCCATCACTTCACACCCAGGGGGTTCTAACCCATGTAGGATGAGCAGCAGGTCCACTCTTAGACCTCACCAGCACCCCATAAGCAGGGGCAGGTCCCAGACCCTGCACTGCTTGGCATGTGGGAGTGTGTGTTTTTTGGTGTCCCTGCCTTTTAGCTGCAGGGGTATCATTAGACATCTTCTGTCCTATCATATCCATCCTTTACTGTCTCCCAAAGCCCTCAGATTGGGAGTTAGCCAGACATGGGGGGGTCAATTCCGAGTTTTCCTACTTGGTGACCTGGGACGAGTTGCTTAGTTGCTGTGGTCTTCCTTTACTCACCTGTCAAGTGGGAATATTCCTGGGTTGGGGAGAAGTGTGGATGTAAGTGTGCCACATCCATAAACTCACACCCAGTGCAAAGGAAAGAAGGCACGGAAGCAGCATTGACTGCCAGTATCTGGGTGCTGGGATTTAGGGAAGATTTTCTTCTGTGTATTGTTTGTTTGCTTTTTCTACAACAGATTACATGATAATAACCACACAGGAAGGGACTGGTATAATGCCTGTGCCCAGCCGGGGCTATAAGGGGCATCCGTGTGTGTGTGGGGGGGGTGGGGTGGGGTTGGTTGGTTGGTTGGTTGGTGGGTGCTGAATGTTGTTTACCCCAGAGTGGGGTCCTCTCCGGGTGCCATTTCTGCATCACCCTCCTTACCTGCACCTCCTCCCACCCCCAAGTCTGTCTGCCTGGTTGTTTTTGAGCCCTGTGTGGTCTTTGGCATGGATGGCCTGTACCCGCTTGTCCCCTCCCTAGACTCTGCAGGTCCCTGTGGCCCTCCAGGGGAGCCACTCCTGGTGGTTTCCTCTGACTTGTGACCCAGTGACCTCAGACCAGGGGGGCAGGGTGAGCCCCCCAGGAGTCTGGCTGATAATTTATGAGCTGCTGCCCTCCTCCAGGCCTTATTGCTCTGCTGGCTCTGGGAGGAAGGAATCTGTTTTCATTTCCAATCCCAGAATCCCCACCCCCACTCCAGCCTTCCCAGCTTGTGCCTGTTCCCTGAACCCGCTTGGGGCCTTGATCAAGGGGCTACTGGGAGTTTCACAGGGTACCTGCTCTTGCCAGCAAAATGGGAGTCCCACTTCTGGCCTGGCTCCCCCAAAATGTGAAGGTACAAACCTACTTTTGCCATGCCTCCCTTCCTTTTTAGTCTCTCCGAAAAGATGACAGTGCTGAGGGCTGCTTCCTGGTGCTTGGTTTGAAAGTAACTGACCCACCCTGCAGATCCTTTCTGAAGACAGAGTGGGGTGATCCCTCCTAGTATGGCAAGCCTTGGGCTACTCTAGCAGAAGACTTCCCTAACTCTGTGCTGATCACACAGGGGCCTTTCTCATGTATAGTCCTGGCTGGATAGTTATGTTGCCACCTCCCTGGAAGATCCCATTTTCTGGGCATTCTTCAGATCTCACTTTCTGGGCATCCTTCAGATCTCACTTGAAATACCCCAGAGGCTCTGCCCTTCCTACTTTGGGCAGGTATCTCTTCTCCCCCTAGAGTAAGCATCTCCAGGTTGGGGAGGGGTCACTTCCTTCCTTCCCTTAGAGAGAATGAATGCAGGCATCCATGGGGTGCACCCTGAGGCCTTGTGTTTCCCAAGGACTGGCCTTGGTGTCCTTTGGTCAGCTGGATGCTGGGCTATTGGAAGCCAGAAGCTGGAAATGATTCTTCCCCCAAGATAATTCAGAAATAGTGTCCCCTTGAGTTGGGAATGGTTCTTTGGTGGGTGGGGAGTTTGGGCCTTGAGCCTATTTCTTCACTGGGAGCAGATTTCTATTCCTGATTATTCTCCATTTGGGCCCATGGGCAAAGGAGCCTTTCTGAGTGTACTCCATCAGAGGGGGGGCGCTGAAACTGGGAAAGCCGGATGGGTGGGGCCCCGTGGGGAGTCCTGCGGCTAAGGCTACTACTAAGACCCCAGTTGCTCCTGGCTAAGTGTCTTACTAAGTGGCAGAGACTCAAAAGGGAGCCCCTTGACAGCCTTCTCTGAAGTTAGAGGGAAGAATCTTCCCCCTTGCCTCTGGCCTGGAGTTGCCCCAGGCCTCTCTCCTGTCTTGACCTGAGCTCTGATCTGGGAGCAGCCTTTGTGTTTCCACCTTCCACCTGGCTTTGGAGAGTGGAAGCTTGAGAAGTTTCCCTTTTTGTTTAACTGGGAGTTTTACGGTTTTTCAGAAAACTGGTTAATAATTAAACTAATTAACCTCGGGGCCTGCAGGCTCTCCTTGTTCCTATAAAGCCAGGCTAAATGGCTTCCTGGGTAGAGGGATAGAGAGGTTTGTCCTGAGTGTTGGGAAGCCAAGGGTATGTGGGGTGGTCGCTGTGACACTGGCCTGGCCCAGCCTGCTAGGCTTGGGCAGAGAGGCTCCAAGCTGCCTAGGCTCATCCTGATCCCTAACTGGGTGCTGCCAGCTGGGTCTTGGGGCAGGGCCATGTGTTTGCCTGTGCCCTGGTGCTCAATATCTCTCCCCCACCATTTCTCTAGGTCTCCAGTGGGGGCTACAAGCTAAGCAAGATGAGGCGGTTCCTGAGACCAGGGCATGATCCTGCCCGGGAGAGGCTCAAGCGGGACCTGTTCCAGTTTAACAAGGTGAGTAAGGGAAAGCAGGAGGGGTAACCCCAGAAGCTGGGGCCAGGCGGAGCCAGGCAGCACAGTCGGGGCTGGAAAGTGTCAGGTTTCTTTCTTCTGGATTAAGGCACAATATGGACTTGGCACTGCCTGAAACACCTCTCAGGACTCTGACTTTGGACATGGGGTCTGGTTAAAGGGCTGTTCCAGAAAAGGTAGTAGGATGCCCACAAGTTGGGACTCCTTGTCCCAAATCTCTCAGTGGCTATGTGACGACCTCTGTGAGTCACTACACCTCACTGAGCCTCAGTTTTCCCACCTGGAAAATGGGGATAAAATGATCTGCCCTGCCTACCTCCCGACAGAGTTGTCAAGGAGGCTTAAGGATGTTGAATTTGTTCCAGGTCCCTGAGGGGCAGACTATGCCTGCCTCTCCCTTCTTGAATTGTCCCCAAAGGAAAATTCTGCCTCCCTACAGTCTGAACACATGATTCCTTCGTGTAGGCTCTAGGCCTGGGTGAGTAGGAAGGGGCGCCCAGGAGATTTTCCCAATCCCAAACCTGCTCTTATGGCCCCAGAAGCCCCACAGGGCTTCCTCAAAGGGGCTAGGGCCAGAGGAGGTCAGTGCAGGCCTGAAGACAGGAAGTGGCTCATTAGCTCCTTGGCCAGCAGGCAATCTGGAGCCTTTAGGGTTAATTAGCCTTCTCTCCTGTGCTTTGATCTCTGCCGGGAAGTGGGACCCCAGGATGCTTCTCCCTGGGGAGTCTAGGGCTACTCCCTGGGCATGCTGAGGGGTGGAAATGTAATTTACACCAAGAGGCATTGGTTTGGGCTGCTCTGCCCCCAAAAGGAACCAGAGGATTTTAGACTAGTTTGGATAGGAGTGTCTCCTTGTCCAAAATGAGGAATTCTGCTTAGTTTTTTTGTTGATATTGATTTGAGGAGTACAGAAGTCAACTTGCCCAGGTTCTAATCCAACTTCTCCACTTAGAAGCTGAGCGACTATGTACCTATCACCCACGCCAGAGACATATTAGAGCTTTCCTAGTGTATACTTTCTCACTTGCTTTGGGGCTCAAGAAATAGGTGTGCAGGTATTGAGAATGGGGGAATCTCAGGGGTGGCGCCCATGGCTCAGTGGGCAGGGCACCAGCCCCATATATGGAGGGTGGTGGGTTCGAACCTGGCCCCAGCCAAACTGCAACAAAAAAATAGCCGGGTGTTGTGAGGGGACTGTAATCTCAGCTACTCTGGAGGCTGAGGCAAGAGAATTGCCTAAGCCCAGGAGTTGGAGGTTGCTGTGAGCTGTGAAGCCATGGGACTCTACTGAGGGCTATTAAGTGAGACTCTGTCTCTTAAAAAAAATCTCGGTACCTGTGGCTCAAGCGGGTCAGGCGCCAGCCACATACACCTGCGCTGGTGGGTTCGAATCCATCCTGGGCCCGCCAAACAACAATGACGGCTGCAACCAAAAAATAGCCGAGCACTGTGGCAAGTGTGTGTAGTCCCAGCTACTTGGGAGGCAGGAGAATCGCTTGAGGAGTTGGGGGTTGCTGTGAGCTGTGATGTCATGGCACTCTACCCAGGGAGACAGTTTGAGGCTCTGTCTCAAAAAAAAAAAAAAAAAAAGAGAGAATGGGGGATCTTGGGATACCTGGGGCCTGCTGCCCTTGCTCCAGAAGGAACAGCCCTAGGTGCTAGGTGTGGGTCTCAAAACTAAAGTGTCCACTGGGAAGCCTGGGTGACCCCCAGTTACCTCCAATCTCTCACTCTCAGAAGGTGGCAGGTGGCAGAAACTGGACAGACAGGCTCAGCAAAGGAAGAACCCCCACCCCTGAGTTCTGTCTGTGCTGCTGGGTGAGGCTGGGGTGGGGCCAGGGCAGAGAAATCCTCTCTCCATTCTCAACCCTCTGCTGGTGGTACCCAAACTTGGCTGCCCCACTCCAAGGGGAGGAGGGGGAGGTTCCTGGAATTCCTCTACTGGTCTGTCTTCCTCCTTCCATTCAAATGCAAGAAACATCCTGGGAGCATCTAAAATGTATATAGCCCCAGGCCTGGGGCTGGGTGAATCTCACCTGATAAGGCCTTTGACCTCCACTTTTACCATCTGGGAAGGGACTGGGCCAATGGCCTCAAATTCCAAGTCTTGGGAGTAGAGAGATGGAAGCAGACTGTGAAGGAAGGGGTTAGGGAACCATACATAGTCTCATTCAGTCTATTCAGGCTTGAATGGTACTGTGGAGCTGGAAGGGTGGGCCTGGAGGGTGAGGCTAGGTCATGGAGGGTTAGGGCCCTGCATGGGACTGTGGGCTGGAAGCTGGAAGTCTGGGGCACATGGCCCTGATAGTTTTTGAGTAGCACAGGAGTGGTCCCCTTTACAATTTAGGGAAGATAGAGCTGGGGGTACTTTTACTCACTGAGTCAAGTGGGTAAGCTCAGCAATCAGGGGAGCGACAGTGAAGAGAGTGGGGACAGAGGAGGAAGGTGGGCGTCTGGGAGGACCATGGTGTCACTGTCATGGATGGGTAGTGGTCCCAGGCACTGGGAGGTGGGAGCCCAGGCCAGGAGAGGTGAGAAGCTGGTTTCGGGGAAAGTGAAAATTTTGATTGTTTTGACTTGGACAGAATAGCAACTATGACTTCCCCTTATGAGGAGGTAGCGTGCCCGATGGCTAGTAGGTGGCTGGTAGTGCTGAGCTAGCCCCTAACCAATGCCTGCCTTACACAGCTCACTCATATCTGAAATGGAGATCATGAACAAAGCTATCCCACTGAGTTGGTATGAACTGCTGGTTTAGGTGAGGGTCAGTCCCCTTTAGAGTGTTCACAGTGGTGTAGCTGGTCATCTCTCCCAATTGTCCTGAAAAGCCAGTGGAGCACTATGTTGGGACAGTGGCGCTGGGCACAGCTGCTGGCTTCTAAACCAGTTCTGGGCCTCTCTCTTCAGCTTCTTCTGGCCAAGCTCATTGCCCCAGTGGCCCTGAGAGTCTCATCTCTCATTTCCTTGAACAGATTCTCTGACTCTGGAGGGGCGGGGGCAGCTGAGAGGCAACTCCAGCTGGCAGTGCAGGGGTCAGGAGCAGGGATTCTGGAGCTGGATGGCCTGGGTCTAGGTGCTAGCTGTGTGATCATGGACGTATAACATAGCCTCTCTGCTGTTCATTTTCCTCATCTGTAAAAGGGACTTTGTAAGGGAACAAAAGCTGGTGTCCCTCCAGCCTTCTAGGTTCCTTGGCCGGGCTATGAATTACATTGACATAAGGCAGTGGCACCTGTAGCTCAGTGAATAGGGTGCTGGCCACATACACCCAGGCTGGCAGGTTCTAACCCAGCCCGGGCCAGCTGAATAACAAGGACGACTACAACAACAACAACAAAAATAGTCAGGCATTGTGGCAGGTGCCTGTAGTCTCAGCTACTTGGGAGGCTGAGGCAAGAGAATTGCTTAAGCCCAAGAGTTTGAGGTTGCTGTGACTCCACAGTTCCCTATCCCCGAGGACACAATGAGACTGTCTCAAAAAAAATAAAAGTAAAATAAAATAAATTGACATAAGGCAGGTTAACTGGAAGGAAACCATCCACAAAATATGAGACGTGAAGGGTCAGATGATTACAGCTTATACAGCAGTGCCCCTTATCCCTGATTTCACTTTTCATGGGTTCAGAAACCCAAAATCCAAAAGCAGGTGAACACAATACAGATCAAACATCCCTTATCTGAAATTCTTAGGACCAGAAATGTTTCAGATTTCAGGGTTTTTTTAAATTTTGGAATATTTGCATTATACTTACTGGTTGAACATCTTTAATATAAAATGCACCAATGAGCATTTCCTTTGAGCGTCATGTCTGCTTTCAAAAACTCTCTAGTTGGGCAGCACCTGTGGCTCAGTGGGTATGGCGCCGGCCTCATATACTGAGGGTGGCAGGTTCGAACCTGGCCCCAGCCAAACTGCAACAAAAAAATAGCTGGGCATTGTGGAGGGCACCTGTAGTCCCAGCTACTCTGGAGGCTGAGGCAGGAGAATCACCTAAGCCCAGGAGCTGGAGGATGCTGTGAGGTGTCACACCACAGCACTCTACCGAGGTGTCACGCCACAGCACTCTACCGAGGTGACAATAAATCTATCTCTAAAAAGAAAAAAAAAAACTCTCTAGTTTGAGCATTTTTGATTTTGGATTTTCAGGTTAGGGATGCTCAATCCATACAACAGGATATTTTGAGAGAGCGGCTACATTCACATAACTTTAATTACAGGGTATTATAATTGTTCTGTAATACCTTATTACTGTAGGTCTCATACTGTGCCTCATTTATAAATTAAACTTTATCATAGGTAGGAATGTATAGGAAAAACCATGGTATATGAGGCTTAGTCTGATCCATGATTTCAGGTGCCTGCTGGGAGTCTTGGGGACTGCTGTATAGCACCCTGAGCTGCAGACAAGAATAGGGCCTGAGAGGACAGCGGCCTGGTTTTGGGGGGTAGGGAAAGATATGTAGGTGAATAAAAGTTGTCTTGTTGCGCAAAGATTGTATCTCAGGTAATAAATGTTGTCTTAGAGCAATTCTCTTACTAAATCTGACATCTGAAATGCTCCAAAACCCGGTGCTTTTTGAGCCCCAAAGGAAATGCTCATTGTAATATTCTGGATTTAAGGTGCTCATTTGTGAGTATAATGCCAATATTTTAACATGCAGTAATGTTTTTATTTTTTTTTGAGACAGTCTTACTATGTCCCCCTCAGTAGAGTGCCATGGCATCAAGTTCACAGCAACCTCAAACTCTTAGGCTTAAGTGATTCTCTGATCTCAGCCTCCCAAGTAGCTAGGACTACAGGCGCCCTCCATAACACACAGATATTTGTTGTTCTTGTCATTGCAGTTGTTTAGCTACCCAGTGGGTTCGAACCCGCCACCCTTGGTGTATGTGGCTGGTGCCATAACCACTGTGCTACGGGTGCTGAGCCAACATGCAGTAAATTTTGAAATACAAAACACTCTGGTCCCATGTATATTGG